GAGAGGAAGACGAAGAGGAAGAGGAGCCTCATCCAAATGCATTTTTTGGGCTGCCAAAAACGCATCTAGGCCCAATGCTCGAAAGAGGCACAAGAAGAGGAAAAGAAAGTGGAAGAGAAAAAGAAAGGAAAACGAAGAGCAAGAAGCAGAGGAAAAGGAAGAGGAAGAGGAGCCAGTAGGCATCATCCAAATGCATTTTTTTGGCTGCCAAAAAGGCATCTAGGTCTAGGTCCGATGCTTGAAAGAGGCGCGAGAAGAAAAAAAGGAAGAAGAGGAACAGGAAGAGGATAAGGAGCCAATAGGCATCGCCCAAATTCTTTTTTTGGCTGCCAAAGACGTATCTAGCTCCATTGCGTTGAAGAAAAAAAGAGAAAAGGAAGAGGAAAAAGGAAGACGAAGAGCAAGAGGAAGACGAAAAGGAAGAGAACGCAAGACAGAAGAAGAAGAAAAAGACAGGAAGACGAAGAGCAAGAAGAAGAGGGCAAGGAAGAGGAAGAGGATAAGGAGCAATAGGCATCACCCAAATGCATTGCTTGGGCTGCTAAAGACGCATCTAGCTCCGATGCTCGAAAGAGGAGCAAAAAAAGAAAAAGACAGCAGAAGAGGAAGAGGAAGAGGAAAAGGAGGAGCCAGTAGGCATCACCCGAATGCCTTTTTTTGGGCTGCCAAACGTCCAGAGGAAGACGAAAAGGAAGAGGAAGGAAGAAGAAGAGGAAAAGAGAGGAAGACGAGGAGCAAGAAGAAGAGGATAAGAAACAGGCAGGGGATAAGGAGCACCCAAATGCATTTTTTGGGCTGCCAAAAACGCATCTAGCTCCAATGCTCGAAAGAAGAGCAAAAAGATGAAAAGGAAGCAGAAGAGGAAGAGGAAGAAGAAGGTCCCTTCCAGAGGATGAGGAGCCAGCAGGCATCACCGGAATGCATTTTTTGGGCTACAAAAAACGCATCTAGCCCACGCTCAGAGGAGGAAGAGGATAAGGGGAAAAGGAAATGGAAGAGGAAAGGGAAGCAGAAGAGGAAAAAGAAAGGAAAACGAAGAGCAAGAGGAAGAGGACAAAGAAGAGGAAGAGGATAAGGAGCCAGTAGGCATCGTCCAAATGCATTTTCTAGGCTGCAAAAAAAGCATCTAGCGCAATCTTGAAAAGGAAAAAGAAAAGAAAAAGAGAGGAAGACGAAGAGCAAGAGCAAGAGGCAGAGGAAGAAGAAGAGGAAGACAATAAGGAAGAGGAAGAGAAAAAAGAGAAGAAGACGAAGAGCAAGAGGAAGAGGAAGAAGACAAGAGGAACAGGACCCGGACCCATCCTTGGTGTGGCGTTCCAGCGCCTGAAGTTTTCGTGGCGCAGTGCCAAAGGCTGCCAGGGGATGAAACCATTTGGGCGGGCACAATAATCTCACCCAACGCATAGGAAAGCAATAGGTTTTTGAGGTTCGACAAGGAAGGTATCACCAGCACGCATTGCGGATAAGCAGAATAGCGCTAGAACACCACCACCACTATTCCCTCTATTCATGTTGACGACTTCCTGCCAGCAGAACAATTGTGTGTAGACAAGAAACACGCTTAAGTCGCCAGGCTCTTTTAGGCGGACTTTCGCACACTCCGAACAACTTCAGCGGCGAGAAGAGTGCTCTTCACTCACTCAGAACCCGCTGAGTTCTCGTCTAAAGGTTCTGCCTTGCGCTTTCGCGAAGCCGGGTTAGAACGGCTGGAAGCACAAACGGACGAAGCACTCATGCCTTCCAACTTCTTCAGAGCCTTTGCGTCGCGGTCCAAGATAGTCACCCGGTTGGCGTGCGCTGCCAGCATGCTGCACCTCACCAAGAACTGCAGTCCCTTGGCCTGAGACGCACAAGACTCCACAGGGTGCGAATGCATTTTTGGCCAGCTGTCAAACGCAGTTGTGGTGCAAAAAATCCGAACGCTTGTTTCTCCTTCAAAAAAAACTTTTGGGCCCCTGCCTCCACCGCCTCCTTCAGGACCTTGAGAGCTGCGGAAGAAATCCGGAGCTGTGGGGGTTCGATCTCATCGACCGGCCCCAAATAGTCCACTGGTTCCTTGGACAAGTTGCTCAAGGATTCTTTGACGAGGCGAAGGAAGGGCGCGGTGGGAATGCAATCCACATCGCTGTCATGCTGAAGAATGCGGATCTGCTCCTCCACACGTCGGCATTGCTGGCCACCAAAGGAGCCAGTCTGCTTCGTGACTTTGAGCTCTTGGCCTTTCCTGGGGCGTCCACATCGCTTCGGAACTTGGTCGGCTGCTTGACCATCAGGCGCAGGAGCATCAGGAGCAACCTTGAGAAATTTGCCGATGGTCAGGCAAATCTTTGGCACTTCTTTCAAGCCGGCAGGCAAAAGGTGAGGCGGAAACAGCAAGCTGTTCTGTCCCTGGTTCAAAGCCATGACAGGAGCCGACCTTAGACGGAACCTCAAACAGGCTTAGGCTAAGGGAAGTTCTGAGCCACACGCTTTCTGAAAACAATTTTGGGAGAAGTGTGGCGGCGCTGCCAAAACACAACAGCAGCACTCCCACTGGCAAAGGACAACACCAGCGTTCCAACTGCCAAGGCTAAATCTTTTCGGTTCACCAGCTGCGCACAGGCGCACAGCGCTCACCACAAGTGATGTCGGCCAAGAGAGGGCCTGTGAGGAGCTATTGCAAACCGCATTGCTGCACGAGGCTGCTCCTGCCACCAAAAAAACGCAAAACGGACAGTTTATCGCAAGGCTGGGCCACCACCGTCAGGTTCTCGGAAACAGTTTGTCGAGTTAAAGGTTGTCTTTACAGGTTTCTTATGAGGGAAACCATGGCGGAATCGTGAGGGCCTTCGAGGAGCTGTTGCAAACTGCATTGCTACATTGCTCCAAAACAAGACTACTACCGATGCACCTGTTACTACTAGCGATGCACTTGTTACTACTAGCGATGCACCTGTTACTACTAGCGATGCACTTGTTACTACTAGCGATGCACTTGTTACTACTAGCGATGCACCTGTTACTACTAGCGATGCACTTGTTACTACTAGCGAAGCACCTGTTACTACTAGCGATGCACTTGTTACTACTAGCGATGCACCTGTTACTACTAGCGATGCACTTGTTACTACTAGCGATGCACCTGTTGTTTTGTGAACGGAAAAAGTTGCTTCGCAACATCACGACTGTGTCCGAGGAACTCCTCGGGGGTCCACAGCCAATCGAGAAAGGCCTCGAAGGGAGGAACGGGAGGGCGAAGCTTCGTCACAAATGAACACATATAATGTCTATCATAATTACTTTGAACACGAAAAAAAACACAGAAGACAAGATATGAAACAAAACATAGAGATGCGCTGCTTTCATTTGCACGTAAGTGCACTGCAACGAAGTGCACAAATCGACCTTCTGAGCGTCCAGCGGAAGCGCGAAGAGGAAAGAAGACCGTCGCCAGGAGTCGCATCCCGAAGCCCGTCGCTCTCGGCGGATGCATCTTCTGCCGGAAAAGTCGTTTCCACACGGGAATCGGGTGAAGACAGACCTCAGAGAACAGTTTTGCACAAGATGTTTTTGACAAAACAGGATTGAAGAACAGAGTTTCAAAAACACGTTGAGGTTGCCTGGGATGCATATGTGTATATGTTGTATATATAAAGTATATGATATGTGTATCTGTATATGTGTATAATGTAGCAACTTCGTTTTCATTATTCCTTTTTGTCAAATGTGTTTGTTTCTAAATTCTTTTTAAGCCCCTACTCAATTATGTAGGCGCCTACGGTCACTTAGTGTCTTGGGGGGCGCTTCGAAGGCTTTCATTGTTCAATCGCTAAGTTGCTCTGGGAAGTCTCAGCCTCGGTGCATGCAGTGTTTGCGCACATAACATAGAGAAATAGAGAAGCGCAAATAGGTGGGCGTGGGCCTCTGTTCACCTTCGTTTACTAGGAACAAGGACATCGCTACTGGTAGCCAAGGGTACTACTAGTAGCAAATAGCTACTCGTGACAAGGACTAGTCACAAAGGGCATCGCACTAGGTGCAAGGACGCTACTAGTAGCTCTTTTGTCGTCATCTTGGCTTGGTGGCGCATACGACATGCGAATGGACATGCAACATGAACCTCTTGGATTCCATGCAATGCTGCGCATCATTTCACGTTCGCGGATGAACTGCTCCACTTGCATTCGTTGCATCTGCCTTGCTCCGTTCGTAGCGATGCCCTTTGTTCCTAGTAGCTTTTTGTAAGGGCAGGAGCCCCTAGTAGCGTCCTTGTCGATGGAAAGAGACCGGAACACGGACACGAAGTCGGAGCAAGAAAGCTACTAACGTAACAAGAAGGCTAGTAGGTTGGAGGCCATCGCAAAAAGCAAAGTGACGAAACTGTAGCGTTGTTGGTTGTCGCCCTAAGGTTTCAACGAGACTTGCTGAAGACCCACCAGCGCTGAAGCAATGCGGTTGCTGCCCGGCCTGCGGAATTGCCCTACTGAACCATCAGACCTTCCAATGCGTAAAGGCCATATCAAGTTGGAGGCCATGGCTACTAGGAGCAAGTGCATCGCTACTAGGAGCAAAGGGCATCGCTACTAGGAGCAAGGACGCTACTAGGGGCTCCTGGCCTCACTAGTAACAAGAAGCTATTAGTAGCAAGGACGCTAGTAAGTTGGAGGCCATGGCGGCTTTGGCACCTTCTTCATGATTCTTTAAAGACATGTCCTTCTCACGTCACTTCGTTTCGTCACTTCGCACCGCGTCTGGAGAACATCTCGCTCGAGCTTCACCAACATGGCCTGCGGATGACGGAATCGTCTTTCTCAAATTGATATTTCTCAAGCTACTAGTAGCTAGAAGCTACTAGGGGCTCCTGGCCATACTACTAGGAACAAGAAGCTACTAGTAGCAAGTGCATCGCTTCTAGTAACAAGTGCCTTACTAGTAGTAACAAGAAGCTACTAGGGACTCCTGGCCATACTACTAGGAACAAGAAGCTACTAGGAACAAAGGGCATCGCTACTAGGAACCAAATGAATAGTGCGAGCGCTTCTTCAAGTTAGGGCGGCGGGGGGAGCTTCTTTGAAGAATCTGTTCACCTGTGTTATTTTTGTGGAAACCGATGGCAAAACACCTTCCCACAGCATCCAGCTACACAAAAAACATGAAAGTTATCAACCGAAAGACGTTCAGGGTGCAAACAAGGAAGGCCTGTAGAAACACATGCCTCTGCCGCTTCTTCTGTCGTAGAAGCGCTTTGCCCCACGCCGGCCTGGAAGAAAGCAGCTGCGTGGGTGAAGAAAAGGTGGACTGGCTTTGTAAAAACCTTCCTGCGTCACCTGCGCAGTTTTTGTGGAAACCAAGGCAAAACACCGCCAAGACCATGAAGGCCCGTGGAAACACATGCCTCTGCACGCTGCTTCTGTAATAGAGGCGAATTGCCCCACGCCGGCCTGGAGAGAAGCAGCTGCGTGGGCGAAGAAAAGGTGGACTGATCTTGCAAAAAGCTTCGATGCTTCACCTATGTGTGATCTCGTGGTGGAAACCAATGGCAAAAAACATTCCCGAAGCCCCCAGCGACAGGGAAAACAAAACCATCTGCCCAGGTTGCATTCCGTGAAAAAACTGTGCTACACATGCCTCTGCACGCTTCTTCTCCCCTGGCCC